GGCCTAAGGACATGTCATGTTTATGACACACGTGTTTCTTGATGAAGACCTCTTGAGTTCGGATGAATGGTCGAGTGGTCATTGCCAGGAACGTTACATCTACGTCACAGAGCACATGCCACGCTCGTCGGCTGTCGTGATTTAACCCAGCTAAGAAGAATAACGAGGATAATATAAGCTACAGGAGCCTTTGAGTCACCTATTTCACACAGATTTCAAGGTTTTTAATAATTATCGTTGACTGGGTGTGTTTATAGTTTAGCACACCAGCACCTGTTCTTTGGGGAGATGGGGGGTATTGATGATTTTTTTTTTTTTTACTAAATTATCATCAGACATTTGAAGTTATTATTCATATTATCTAACGTACCATGTTGTTGTTTTCTTAGTGCAATCTGAGGGTCGCGGGTTCGAATCCCCGTCACCGAACGTACTCGTTCTTTTAGTTGTGGAGGCGTTACAGTGTGACTATTCGTTGTTAAAATAGAAGCCCAACAGTTGGCGGTGGGTGGTGTTGACTAGCTGTCTTCCCTCTAGTTTATCACTGCTAAAATATGAACGGCTAGTACAGACAGCCCTACATAATGGACTGTTTGTATTTTGTCCACAGTGTTGAATCGAACCCTGGATTTTAGCGTTGGAAGGCCGTCATAACATATTGTATCCTTGGGGGGTGTAACTTTTAATAATCATCTTTCAATTTACTACCAGTCATTTGTTTTTCTAAAAAAAAGTTCTCAGTGCTTTAAATCTTGTGATAAACTTTGGTAGTCGTGATGGCTTTCCCTAAAAGTCAAAACATAAGATGGCTTTATTGCAACAAGCTCATGCAAATAAAACGTATATGTTTCCAGATTTCAAATATTTAATAACCTGGTATTATTTGATTCAACACTTGCTTTCTTTTGGATATTCGCACAATGCTACACAAGGGCCATCTGCGCATAGCCATCCCGCCATCCCTAATTTTGGACTAATATACTAGAGGGTAGAAAACTAATCAACAGCACCATTGCCGACTCTTGGGCTATTCTAAATGAATAGTGCTATTTGACTTTCGTTCTTATAACGCATCCACGGACCCACCTAAAGTGAATAGTGGGATTTGACTGTCGTTCTTATAACGCATCCACGGATCCACCCAAAGTGCGTAGTACGATTGTTTTGCAGCGGCAGGACGCGAACCATGGGTTCTCGAATTCACAGTCCAACACTCGGACAAGGGGCAGGGGTGGCCATGTGGTAAAGCTCTGAATTTCGGAACTAGCGAACCGGGTTCGAATCCTTACGAAAACATAAAATATTCTCCTTACTTTAAGCAAAGAGTTGTTGGTATGCCTCTCCCACCCCCGCCCCCCACGTGCACGTCCTTGAGCAGAGACAACTAAATTATTAATACTGATATTTTCAATAATTTTCCGAATCTTGGCTGCTGGGATTCGAATGTTGTTCAGATGTTAAGTTTCGCCTAAACGTGGACACCGAAGCTCTCTCACAGTTTCCTTTCCCCTCCTTTCCTCCCTCTTCATTATAATGAGAAACTTCGAGAGTTCGTCAAAGCTGAGCGAGTACATATTCTAATTGGTTGCGGATGGCTGTCAGCCGAGGCAGTGTGTCAACATAATGTTTTACAGTTGGATAAATCACGGGAATTAAACAGTGGCTCTGATGTTCTGTTTTTAGTTCTCACGTTTAAACAGCGAGAACATCTTTCCCGTGAAACAATTATCTTATAAGATATTATCCTCAACCTTCTGTTACCTTGAAGTTTTGTGTGGCTGTTTTCTAGTTCTCTGTATTTTACTTCTAATAAAAAAGCAACAATAAACGTGTATTTGCCTATACACATGAATATACTTATCGACTGATTGTTCTTATTAATTGTTCTTTTAATTGCTTACATTAATGTGCATTTATACTCTGACTAAACTTGATTTTTGTCAACAAAAGGAAGCACTAAGTGTGGAGAAGGAGTAGATAAGTTTACATCAAACGGTCTTTCTTTTCAGATCATTGACATTACATCCAAAGTGTTTTCTCCTCAGATCATTGACATTACATCCAAAGTGTTTTCTCCTCAGATCATGACATTACATCCAAAGTGTTTTCTCCTCAGACAATGTCATTACATCCAAAGTGTTTTCTCTTCAGACAATGTCATGACATCCAAAGTGTTTTGTCCTCAGACAGTGACATTACATCGAAAGTGTTTTGTCCTCATACAATGACATTACATCCAAAGTGTTTTCTTTCAAGATCACTGGCATCATATCCAAATGTCTTTCTTTTCAAAACACTGATATTTATGACATTTCAACGCCGATTTATGACTTAAAGGTCGTAAAAACAACATGATTTAATGTTTCAATGAAACATTTCACATATTTATTGAGTAATCAATAAAAACTACGATATAGAAACAATCAGATTGTGAGCCCGCTAGTCATGGAAGTGAAGAGAAAAATAACTTGAAATTCTGGAATCACAAAGTTTTTACTAGTCTATTAGCAAACACAATTAAAATAGTTTTATACAATCTGATCGGCACCGTGTGTGTGCATGTGGGCTAAACAGCCAGGTCAGATTTAGATATAGCTGTCTCTAATTTTGTACTACTAGCCTGAGGATAAACCGACATCCAGCCCCACTTGTGTCATAATAATCGTCCGTCTCTTTGAAGCAAATAGCGTGATAGCGATAAGTCTTATGACGCGTCAATAGGTGAAAGTTCGAAACGTGTTCCACAGCATTACATTACAGACTCTGGACTCTCCTATCCTTAGCCCGACACGCTAGCCACAAAAAAAAACACTCCAGGCCCTAGGATCAGGGGCGTAACTACAAAATTATACCCCCCCCCCTCCGCGCATAAAGACATTTATTTCCCTATAATTTTAATTACTATTTTGGCTGATTATGGCCTCTTTTTGGCTCCACCCTCAACCCCACAATTGCGGAGGCATAATTACTCCACTGCCTAGGATATATCAAGAACTTCGGCAAAAGTGTATCAACGTTTAGGTAACGGAGAGCTTCTCGGCACTTCAAAAAGGCTTAGTGACAGTTTAATCTGTATATCTTATTATCTTTGTTCTTATCTGGATTTCTTGTTGTAGATTCCCTTCTTTTATCTTCACCAAATTTTTTTAAGGTTCTACTTTATTCCTATCGGAATATGACTTATATCAATGTAACCGTAACGAATTCTTGTTTATTACCATAACCAATAACACATAAAAATAACGCAAAGACTTTGAACTAGGTTTTGTTTCTTACTGGCAGCATATTACTTTCTTCCTTCGCCTCTCTCTCGGTTTATTCGTTCTCTCTCTCAGACACCTCCCAGTCCTTTTTCTTTCACTGCACTCCTAGTTGACTTTAATATTCCTTTCTCAAACCCACACAACTAACAAGACCCTTTCTTTCTGACCCTGAACATCTATTTTTCTCTGTATTGGATTACATACCATAGTGGATCCTATAGCCTACACGCGGGCTGAACGAGAAAGATGGCCACTCACTCCGATCATTTTCTAATCAATTATGCTTTAATTCCCTAATACCATAGAGACTGACCGAAAGCTGGTCGCTTTCTCACCTCTCTCAACTCCAGCCAATTTTCCTTACACCTAACTTCATAATATTTCTTTAATCGTATGATATATCAGATCATCGAGTACAAAAAAGGGGGTTTGGTTAGGTTGTTGTTAAACGGAAAGGTATGTAATGGTTTATCTGTGCTTTGCTCAGCATGGGTATTGAAACACGGAATTTAGTGTCGTAAATCTTCAGACTTATCGCTGAGCGCTGGGGGTAAAAAAAATGGAGAGAGAGAGAGGGAGAAAAGAAAGAAATTCGACATATAATAGTCAACACCTCGCAAGTACAGTTTGTGTGTGTATTTTCCTTATAATTGTCAACACCTCGCGAGTATAGTTTGTGTGTGTATTTTCCTTATAATAG